AAAAAAAAAAAAAAAAAAAAAAAAAAGAAATTCCATTTGACCCAGCAATCCCATTACTTGGTATATACCCAAAGGATTATAAATCGTTCTATCATAAAGACACATGCACATGCATGTTCATTGCAATGCTGTTTATGATAGCAAAGACCTGGAACCAACCCAAATGCCCATCAATGATAGACTGGACAAAAAAAATGTGGCACATATACACCATGGAATACTATGCAGCCATAAAAAACGATGAGTTCGTGTCCTTTGTAGGGACATGGATTAATCTAGAAACCATCATTCTCAGCAAACTGACACAAGAACAGAAAACCAGGTACCACATGTTTTCACTCATAGGCAGGTGATGAACAATGAGAACACTTGGGCACAGGGAAGGGAACAACACTCATAGGGCTAGGATGGGGGCTGGTGAGGAGGGGAGGATGGGGAGGGATAACACCGGGAGAAATGCCTGATGCCTGATGTAGGCAAAGGGGGCTGGTGGGGGATGGAGACAGCAAACCACCATGGCATGTATGTACCTATGCAACAATCCTGCAGGATGCAGGATGTGCTCATGTACCCCAGAGCCCAAATACAATTAAAAATAAATAAGTAAATAAAAAGAAATAAGAAAAAGAGAGAGAGAGATAGGTGGAGAGAAGCATGCCAAATAAAGAGAGAGAGGCCATACTATCCTAAGCTCCTGAATGCACTGTGACATCCAGACATCCTGAGGAAGACAAGAACACATCATACGGCACCCACAGGAGCCTCAGGAGACTGGAGTTAATAAAGAGATGAACAGTGACTCAATTCTTATATTTGAGTGCATGGACTTTTACATTAGAGGCAATAATAATCTGGTCTCATGAGTACTTTTTCAAATAATTGGTATAAAATCTGTCCCAAGAGTATAGTCCATTCTCTGTACAATATTTGCTCATTGAACAGTTGGAGAAATTGTTTCTGTTTGATCTTAATCATGACAAAGTAAGCAAGGATGGATCTCTATGGACAACCTGCTTTTATGTAGAGCAGTCTTCTTATGAAGAAATAGGGACTGAGTGTGGTGGCTCATACCTGCAATCCCAGCATGTTGAGATGTCAAGGCAGGCGGATCACTTGAGCCCAGAAGTTTGAGACCAGCCTGGGCAACATAGGGAGACCTTGTCTCTAGAAAACATTAAAAAATTTGATGGGCATGGTGGCATGCACTTGTGGTCTCAGCTACTCGGGAGACTGAGGGGGAGGACTGGTTGAACTCAGGAGGCTGAGGCTACAGTGAGCTGTGATCATGCCACTGCATTCCAGCCTGGGCAACAAAGTGAGACCTTATTTCAAAAGAAGAAAGAGAGAGAGAGAGAGAGAGAGGAAGGAAGGAAAGGAAGGAAGGAAGAAAGGAAGGATAATTATTTGTCTGAAGTGATTAGAATTTGATTAAATTATTTTGTAAGTCACTTTTGAAGTTTTTTTCAATAAAGTCTTTAAAAACTTGAGGTAATTAAAGTAGGCAACCTTAAAGGCTGCCAAGAAGCCTCTTTAAAACAAGTTGAGCCGGTTTTTCTTTTCCTTTTTAAACTAAGCATGTTAAATTTAAACCGTTAAAACTAACCACAAAGATTGTTGCTTGTTTATTACATGTTTTCAAGATGAAAAGAAATGTGGTCTCAGCCAGTTACCTGGGGATAATCCAAGTTTGCATCTAGCCTTGCTATATAGTTCTTTAGTTTTCTACCTGTCTTTTGGTTACTATGACAACTGGAGAGGTCATAGGGGAAAAACGATGTTTTGACTGCTGGACTGAGGGCAGGAGGAAAGCAGAAGGAAGATTTGGGACGGGCTTAGAAACATGAAGTGGCTGAGTAGATTCAGGTCGGGGAACAATGAGAGCCAGGGGCTACGTGGATGTCTCTATGCTGAGCATTTCATGCTAGCTGTAGAGAAGACAGGCTTGATGCTAAGAAATAGATCACAATGCAGAGTACATGAGTAAGGATGGAGAACCCAAAGACCAGTGGGGCAGAAAAGTTTTGTGTAGATACAAAAGTTTTGTGTTCCCCACTCCCACCCACTACAGATTCTGTGCCACTGTATGAGTGCTGGATCCATCCAGTCCATCAGCTGGGCATGGACTGGTGACAAGCCCATATGTTCACTGGCCACACTCGCTATTGTTGGGGAGTCTTGAGCAGAAGAACACAACCACTTCAGCAGGTGGCCTTGATAGGTCCAGTCTGAAGTGTAGAAGCTAGCAGACTCCGCAGCTCATGGAGCAACCAAGAGGTATTGGGGTACACAGTCTCCTATGGTAACCCTGGGAATAGGTACCGACAATTGGCAAGTTGAAACTAACTTAGAAAAGGGCTATTGCCCAAGTTGGAACTGGCCTAATTTGGAACATGCCAGTAGTGACTGGTCCTTACACAGGATGCCCTTCTAAGGAGTCCATTCTGTCCAGTTCTGCTCTGGAACAGCCACATTCTGCCTTGGGATCTGGCTGCCAGCCACAAGCAGAATTTTAGAACTGATTCTGGTTTCTACCCATCACAGATGCAAAACCACTCCCTCTTTTTTTTTTTTTTTTTTGCTTTTTAAATTTTAAAAAATATTTTCATATTTTTAAAATATGTTTTTGTTACTTTTTATTTGTTGTAATACTGACTTGAAGTAGGGGTAGAGCAAAGTACTTGCCCCCTAAATAAAAATTAGAAAATTTTACTGCTTAAACTTGATGACTCATTTGACCCTCAGGAACTGTTTCCTAAAGAATGACTGACTTGAATTATGTCATTATTTTTTTTATTCTGTCTGTCCTTTTGTGTTAGTTTCCTGGGCTGATGTTGGTGAAAGGCAGTTTGGTGATGTGTAACCTTTAAAAAGTGCATTTATTACACATTTCCCAGCACCATGTAATTTGAGCATTGTGATGCTAGCTTTTTATTACGTCTCTTTTTTCAGTTTTTTTTTTATTCCTGAATGTTCTGCAATCTCTCTTTACTAAATGCTTGAATTATAAGTATACACAAAAAAAGGTGGCTTTTATGACTTGCTAAGATAAGGATATGTTCTGGATTTATAATGATAGCATTGGGGGAGAATATTTTCTTTCAAAAAGACTAAATTGGTTCTACTTCAAAAGAGTTTCAGTTAATTAAATGTAGGGTTGTGAAAAGCCTAAAGGGTAGCTCTTTGATCCTGTAGTACTTTTATTTAGTTATTAATTAGATATATTTTCTTGTGCTCTTGACCTTACCTGTTAATACCTAGTTTTTAAATAGTCAAACAAAAATGGATGTGCACATTGGGCTGCCTTTATTGTGTTTCATTGTTTCTTTTGGCTACATTATGGCCCATTTAAAGTAATTTCATATTTGCTGACACAGTATTGATAATTCACATTTGTTGCACAGTTCATATGCAAATATTTTACATCTTAGAGTAGCAACCTGGTCATCTGTTCTCCTACCCCCTCCCCTGCAAACTATCTCCTTTCTCTCATAACAGCTCTACTGCTTACATATGCCACATGTTGTCTTTGACAGAAATTCATTCATTTGCTTCCCAAACATCTGTTATGTCCAAGGCACAATTGAATATATTGAAAGAAACATAAAAAAAAAAAAAACACTACATGATATAATGTTTTA